GACAAAATAATAAAAATGACAGGACAGTTTGTCATTAAACCCATTGCCCCAGAGGATGAATCAATTGGAGATGAGGAGATTTATAAAATGTCCATGGAAGATAACTAGAATTGGCACAAAATTGCATAAAGTGTAGGATGAAAATTTAGCCAGTGTCTTTCAAAGACTGTTGTGTAACAAAGTGTAAGCAGAATTACAGGATGTATTGTATACATTTTCCAACACTAGGGATCAGGATAAATTTGCTAAATAGATATAAGTACACAATTTCATAAGGAGGAGAGGAGAGGCATACTTAGTGAAGGCAGTATTTACTCAGTTCCATAGGATTAGAATTAAAAACATACAGTATATGAAGCATCTGAGCTGAAGATGGCACTCCATCTGTGATCCAGCAACTGTCTTCCTACTCTATACATCCACTATGAGCTGTTGAAAAAATGTAGAAAAAAATCAACTGGTCTTGGTTTTAGGTCAAACTTGGTTTTTGACCTAAAACCAAGTCCAGTTGATTTTTTTCTACATTTTTTTTCAGCTTACTATGGCCTGGATGACTGAAAATCTCCATGAACACTATAAGCAGCTCCTTCTTGCCACACACACACACATTCCTGAACACATTCACATTAATTACATTGCCAGAAGCTGGAAGGACTCCATCTGGTCCTGCCCCTGACATCCTGACAGAGACTTATTTTTTTAGGAGACTTCCTGCTTTTTTCTCTCGCTTTTCTCATTTTCATTAATGCCAATCAGTAGCTCATTTGGAACACCTGTGGCTTGTTAATACGCCTATATAACTTGTCTCCCCTTTCTCCCTAGCTGTCAGTTACATGCAGTCCATTTAAGTCTTTGACTGTCTCTGCTGCTACAATTTGCCTGCCTGAACTTGATCATCTAACCTGTTGTCTGCCTGCCAGCATGTCCACAGAGTACTTTCCCGCCATTCTGACTACTGGAATCTGTTTTTTAAGTCAGACCTGCTCTCCGCCCTGCTGACTTCTCCCTGGCTGCTCAGCTCTTTTTTGAGGAGTGTTTTCTGCTGCTTTGGCCACTTGTAGTTTGCTGTACTGTGCAGCCCTCATCTGTCTTCTGCAACCTGTTGCCTGGCCTGTATTTGCCTGTTCTGGACTCTCCCCCTCATCTGTGCTCTCCAGTTTGTAAGTCTTGTCGGAAGTCTGCCACTTCCTCATCGGGTTTTAGATGATGGAAAAAATATTCAGTCAATCTGGAGATCACAGCAACAGCCAAAATGATCTGATCTGATTTTTCTAACATTGTGTATTATATACTACTCTTCCCGCCTACTTACATTCCTTAGGATGCAGCTGAGATCAATCAGCACCCAACCAAAGTTTCTATCCCACCATACACAATACTTCTCTCATGACAGTTAAACCTTCCTCCCTAAAACCAAGGTACTTTTTCTGTGATCAAAGGCACATATACACATAATGATTACATGAACACTCAGTAATGCTGAGAAAGTTAAAACTTGTCCTTATCAGTTCATTAAATGTAAAACAGTGGAGTGTAGCCAGACATCTTATGTCCACTGATTTCAATCATTCTGCTCCTTCCTGTGACTCCCTCCATGTGAAGCAGTGCTGAGCATCACTCTCATGAGCAGATCACAGTGTTTAGAGTGGATACACATTGTAGTTAATTAAAACATGGTTAAAGGTTACATTCTTGTTTAGTTCAATTACATGAAACAGTGCTCATACTTCAAACTCAGTGAAAGTTACATTCCATTTAAGTGAAGACTGGTGCTTCAGTTACAGTGTCTTCAAACAGTCTAATATTCCACAGCATGTAATCATGTATGTATACTATGACCAAATGAAGGCCACACTTTTATTTCCAAAAACAGTGTCATATTAAGATAAGAATTTCCAAACAGTGTTTGTGCTGCAATCATACAGGAACCTTAATATTACATTTCATATAGTGTGTAAAGATACTAGTGTTTTCTACAATATATATATTCTTGTGTGCACAGTGAAGTGTTAATGCCTGAAGTTGCAATGTCTTACACAGTTAATATCTAACAGTCTGCTGCTCATCTGGTTTTTTGACTGGGTATTCTTGTGGAAATGGAGCCTGCCTGAAGTTTGCCTACTGTCCCCCTGTGTGCCTGCCTGCTTTAATTTATTGTTATATTTTTGCCTGAGCTCAGGTCACTTTTAGTTTGCTGGCCACCTGAAAAAGGTCTGTTTTTGGATTGTTGTGCATGGTGCCAGTGCTTTGTTTGTTTGTTTTGTTTTTTTCCTCCTGTCATTGGAGGAGTTTTTGCCTGGATTTCCAGTTGATTTTTGTTACCCCCCTCCTGTGTGCCCTTTGGGGTCCTCATTTCAGCTTGCACCTGTTAATTTTACTTCACCTATTAGGTTCCATTTCTCCAGTGTTTAGCAGGTCTGTTAGGTGGTGTGTAAGATTTGGACCCAGTATGCAGACTGAGACTAGGAGGAGGAATGATTACAGAAAAGAATTGATTGAATATTGATAGACCCAGTTCTTTGGTTGAAAGTGCGAGAAGTGAAGACAGAAGAGGACTGTATAAAATCAACAGAAAATTTAATCAAAGTCTGGTCACATGTAAAGCTATACAGCGCTGGGCTCAAAGAAACAAAGCTTCCGCAGGAGCCCTGTCATCAAAGAGCGCCGCACTATTGTCTTGTAGTTCTATTTATCTTCATGGGCGGGAACCGCCCCGGACAGAGGTTGGACTGGGTAAAATTCTTAAATGGAAAAGGAGGAGAAATAGTTAACCAGAGGATGAATATAACTGGATGAGCGTGAAAGCCAGGACACTGAGTCTCTGCTGTGCAGGCCCAAACCACTTCATTACATTACTGTCTGGAAGTGTAGCCCTGAAGGCCATTA